TCATTCAAATAATTTCTTAGGTAGCGATACAATCTGAGCGTATATTCTACTTTTAACCAATCACTAACGAGTATATTCCATATGATTATGCTCTTATTATGAAATGGGCATTGAACAACGGCAACACTGACTTTGGCAGCTTCCTACTAATTTTTATGCCAGTCATTATCATAGTAGTTTAGAATCTATTGATATCGTGCTTTAAGCTATAATTCACCTCAATCAAACAATCAACCCACCTAACAAAATTAAGTTAATGCAAGTAGTCGTCATCAAACCCATGCGGAAAGAAAGAAAAAAAAGAGATTTTCTCATCGTTTAGCGCGTTAATAAGGCCTTAAAACCTTCAGGGAACTTGACATGTGCTGTAATAGTACCATAAATATATGCTTTATTTTCTCTGGTATAACTAATGGCAGTTTTATGCTAAAATCTCTCTGACTCCTCGTAATTATGACTAAGGAGTGGAGCTCATTGTGTCTTCAATTAAACCTTGTGTGAACCACGACTTCTTAGTTTTGTCCCATAAGGCTCTGTAATGTTCTTATAATCCTCGTTCATTGGCCGTCAATATTCTATAGCTCAACCTTTTTACTCTGTTGGCAACAACTGATGCCCATTTCGTTCTCCCTGAAAACCATGTGCTCCCCCCCCCCCAAAAAAAACCTCTAGCCCCCCGCCCTCAGCTGAATAATAATGACAGGTCCCTCAGGGCCTGTTGTAGGATCAATGGTGGTAAGTTTTTTTTTTTCAAAGGTGAGGCTATGTTTATGAATATCCTATTTTCATGAGCTGAGATTTTTTTCCTTCCAAAAGTAATCTCCGCTAAGAAAAATTGCCTGATAACGAGGCATTTCCGTTTTCCAATCGGGGAAAACCGCTGTGCAAATCTAAAAGTGCATATGTACATGCTACGAATGATACAGGTGTATCCACTGACAGGGTTAATCAACACAATCGCAGCGAACTGTCTAAGTAGAGGAGATCTGTAAATAAAACCTGTGAAGAATGAAACTGTTTGATTGCAGCTTGGGAAAAGAATATAAACATAATCTGTTGAGCTTTGTCAATAAGGGAAAATGTTCCATCAATTCTGTTTTATTTTTATACTGAGCGGTGTGAACCTAGGAAAACCAGTTGGTCCAGTAGTCTTAGATGGCCAGCCATGTTTTGTTGATTGGAAGTGTGCCATGTAAGCTAACGACTTTGAAAGTCGTTGTGCGTTTCAGCCATTGAAACAGAAATAGGACAAACTACCGCATTAGGAAACACCTTGACTGAGGAAAACCAAGCCATCCTGGAACGCAGCTAGGGATTGAGTTATCAAAATAGAATGGATTTGACTTGAAACTTTCCAAATCAAAAGTTTGACATCTATCGATACACGTGCTTGTAAATTTATGCACATTGCTCTCAGAGACTTGTGAAGTTTTGTAAGCCCAGAAAAAAAATTACCTCTGCTTCTTTTGCTCCAAATTTCACTTCACTCAAACTCGTGCTATCACGATCCTAGTGCGTCAACAAACTAACAGTGATCCAATTACCACGACAACCCGACCTGGAAGATCTATTAGCCTTAACACCGAAAAGTTTTAGAATTGAGATCGTTCTCTTTTTAAGTTGAAATATATATGACAAAAAATAAATGGCTTTATAAGTTTGAGAAATTTCATCATATTGCAGGAAATATTTGATTCTTTTCTTTAGGTGCAAACCAGTATTGTTAGTCAAGTTAGCAGGTCCTGAATTATCTTTGAACAATAACAAATTAAGATAATTAATGTGACGTAACTTATGATTTAAAGTGGCTTGTAATAGAAGTAATACATTCTGTGTCAGCCAAAGTGGATTCGCACCACGATTGACTGAGTTCGCTTTGGTTGCAGATTATGAATTAACATCCCAGTTGAGCTTACATTTGCAAACATAATCGTTAGGAAGTAAATTTATTAACACGATAAGAAATGTCCATTTTTGTTTATTTCAGCGCCCATCGACTGAAGGCACATTTTCTCGCGGAGTAAGCATTTCAGGTTTAAAAGACAAGTTTCAGTTGAAAAATCTTAGAGTTCTGCGGGCTCACTTTGAGATGTGAATTAAAATCGTCTCTATTTAATTCATTGCATATAATTTTAGCGTTTAGGTGTCAAGTTTCCGTTAACGCGACCTCTGCGTTGTATTTAAAAGTTGTTATAGTTACTACAGTAAATATCGAGTCATTCTTGTTTGGCAATCACGAAGCAGTATTTCGCTTGGGGTTTTGTTTTTGGTCAGCTACCCATCAAAGGATAGAAAGGAAATTGAAACTGTACTGGTAAGATCAAGGTAGTGTATTAAAGCGTGAATAATATTGCTTAAAATGCAAGCTTCGATAGCTTCATGGAGGGTGCTCAATTTTGAATTCGCGCATTTTGTAAATCGTTGGAGTTGCTTCGCAATTCAGCGTGTCTTCTGTTTCCTCGAAATTGGCGCGGTCTGCTTAGTTATTGAGAGCAATTTAAACCTTTTGGGCCGTCGCTCTGAGACCGATTGGATTATTTAACCATGGTACATTAGATAGATTCCCGCTGAACCGAATCAAACGTGAAACGTTTACCTTAAAGGTAACCGAATGAAGTTAAAAATCATCCATTTTCGAGGAAATTTAGCAGAAACTCTCAGAAAAAGTAAAATGATTGAGACAGATGTACTATAGTGTACCGAGCGACAATATGGCGTTTCTGTTAAACTACAAAAAACATTTGCACTACAGTTTGTATTTGTGAATATGTTCGTTTGCCACAAAGGTTTATACGTGGCTACTGTTTGGTCTCAGATAGCCCAACGAATCAGTGAGTCGCTTAACAATTTCTTTTGCTTTCTCCATTTTGATTTATTAAGTATAGAAGCCAAACAGGAAGCAAAATGGTGGTTATGTAGAAGAAAGAACAAACGCGACACTCCGTCGATTGTGTTCGCTACCGAAACGACGATCACATTCAGCCGCTACTACAGTAGTTTCCAAAAAATACTTTACAGATTTAGGACGTAAATTTGTTTTATGCTGTTAATTTTCTGAACTAACTCTTCCCTTTCTCTTTTAATTATTATTTTTTGTTGTTACCCACCATTTTAACCTCAAATGGAGATCTAGAGTGCGAAGGAACTATTATGCTAATTTGTCGCGGTAGCCAAAAGTGTACAGTTACAGAATTATGACAATTTATTTAAACTAAGAATAATTTAAGCTTAATAACGTTGGCTTTGATTTTTACTCTTTAAGTCTCTCAAGCCGAGTAAAAACACAGATCTGATGGATAAAAATATGCCACTTGGGGTACCAACAGCGTAATTGACCCGACGTGTCCGCAAATTATCGCCTAAACAAAAAACTCCATAATGAGTGCAGCATTGGTGACTTACTTAAGACAGCTTTTCTGCATATAGGAATAGGTGACAATCGAACGTCGAGGAGAGGTTGATTCTACCAAAATAATTCAGGCTTGTTACATGAAGTGTAGGGAGACATGCTCAGTCGTATTCCATCTCATATGCATCGGTGGTGACTACTGGCTGAGATGCGCTCTAGACTAGCCTTTCTTTCTTGTGCAAATTGGTAGATCTCGACTTATCTAGATATATTTCTTTAATGTTTATTTTACAATTTATTAGAAGTCAATTTTAAAGATGTCAAACCCAGAGGACAAAGAGGCTGTATCCAGACCTAATGCGGCCATTATGGACAGTTCTGGAGGAGGGAATGCAGGTGGAGCTGGTGTGTCCATTACAATAACTTTTAACAAAGCTTACGTCGTGTCAATTCCTGGAGTATTGAAGATCGTGGAATTTGTACGTACTATTTGTGGATAAGATGTTCTGATACTTTTGGTACTTTTTTTTTTATTTGGCGCATAGTGCTCCTTGCGTTAGAGTTCCACTTAAGTGCATTTCCATTGACTGTCTTAAAACCAAAAGAAAGTATTCACAAAAACTAATCTATAAATAGAGAGAAAACTCAACGTCAAGAAAGGAAATTTGAACTGCCTGAAGCGCGGGAAAACGCGAGCAACTCAAGTCTCGATTGATCTTCCTATTAGTATCTTCCTTAGTATAGGAAGATTAATTGGTCGAGAAATGGCAGGAATTTTCTAAACCAATCACAGACCGATGAAAAATAAAAATCACAGCAATCCTTTACCCTTTTCACATTCGATGGGAAATTCATCTCAGTAGCCTAAGGCAAACGGTGTGATTTGGGCAAATTTAAATTATGGTGTAAAATCTGTATTCCTCCAGCTTGCGCGAGGCTCTCGGTCGGTGGAAGAGAGCAGGTGCATGAAAACCTTTTCTTGATAATCGCCGTTTTTTCTCAATCGCTATCTCACTTAGTAAATGCCTGTAACAGGCACAGGATCAACCCCCCTCTCCCCCCTTCTATCATCTCGAATCAAGAAAAAATAATTTTCCTATTCTTTCCCCTTGCTCGAATGTAATGTCAGACGACTGTAAAATAGTCGACAGAAAAAATAAAGGCAGCTGAATTTCAATTGTTTGAGGTTTCGACAAAAATTTGTCAGCTGATTATAGTCAAATCAATCGCAGCAGGGCAATTATGATCGACTGCCCATGGTTTTTCTCTATCACGTCTTGCGATTGGCCGTGGAAACACACTATAATTTTAATTTCTTCCAGCACAATCAGAAAGATAAAGAAAAACAACTTTGTGACTCAGTCACTTGTATTTTATGGGTTCAACACTGTTTACACGTTTTTACTCAAAATTATCTTTTTTTAAAGTAATTTTGCATCGATCTCATTTGTCCTCTAGGTTATTGTAGTTTTGAGTTACCGAATATATTTGAAAAGCGATATGTATTAATCAAGAGTAATGTAACTTTTCTTATCATCTTCTCCACAGATCCTGTTATTGTTAGCATTTTCTATCGCCGCTGACATAAGCTTCGCATACCGGGGACGCATGAGTTTTTTCCTTTTTGTTACCATTACTTCATGGCTTCTTGTAATCGCCTGGTTTGTGCTGTTCACCTTCAATTTGCAGACAAAGATCAACCTCAGCATTAACTGGAATATTACGGTAAAAGATTGTTTTTTTTTTCATTAAGCTCCAGTCGATAGAAGGTGTTGGAAATCAATTTACGAAAAAAGAGGCTAGAGTCCAAACTCCGTTAAAAATATGTCTTAAACCTGTTAAATGAACCACAGCTATTGGCTAAAAAAAAAACTCCGAATCTTCTTCAAATTCCAAACAAAGGGGTAACAACTTGACGCGGATGAAAGCTCTAAAACAACTGACTAAACTCCATAAAAAAGCAACGTAACTTCAACAGTTTGCAAAGTTGTCTAGGCAACACTGCAGCCCCCTAAAACATCCAATTTTTTCTCTTTAGTCTAAAGCTCAAAAGCAACTACTAAATCATTGAATTTCAATTAGTAGACACAACCCTCTGCAAATTTGAAAAAAAAAAAAAAACTTTGCAAACCGTTCGGTGCCTCCTTAATTCATTGATAAAGTGGCTCTGAACCGAGTCAATCCTCTGATTACGGATTCATTGAAGTGTGCTTAGTCTAATTGGCTGATGTCGATAGCCGATTACAGCCAAGTGGACAATTACGCTGTCTTGTGACAAATCTACTTAATTAAGGAAAAATTAATCAGTTTATCTACGTAAATTAGGCTAAAGGTTTAAGTTAATTCATCATCTATATGAAGTCCTCTGCTCTCCTTTCCAGCTCCTGATATTTGCTGCTGTTGTCGCTTTTCTTTTGCTGATCAGTTCGGCGTTGTTGGCTGATGGTGTCAGGAAGTTTGAGTCAGTGCCCCTTGATGACGTTTCTGCAAATTCCATCCCGGACCTGGTCCAGGACCGGAAACGGAACCTGGACTTATTACGCGCTGCTGTGGTATGTCTTACGTAAAGTTCAACTGCCTGCGAGCACACGCCCTCTTTGTACAGCGTTTCGGCACAAGAGTTTTTTTCCCTGGGGATATGTACGAGACCTTGAGCAATGCTAGCGATCGAGGGATCTGCAAGGTGTCTGGCACACAATATCTCTCCCCGGCTCGTCTCCAATCTTTCTGCGAGCGTGGAAACGCGCGTCCTGCAGCGTTAATAATGAAGGCCGGCTAGCTGGTCAGCCATGACACCTACTGGTGTTTCAAGGGCCTTTTAACCCTTTAAACCCTAAGAGTGACAAGTTAAGAGCCGCACGATAAGGGTTAAAGACACAGATCGTCTTTGAATACTTAACTCCTTTAAACTTTAAGATCAGTATATATATATTCTCCACACTGCTCTTATACATTTCCTATGGTGCCGACAAGGAGAATTCGTTTTAAAAAATCAAAAGATTCTTTTATTGATGACCATTTCCTTTATTCTCTTGACGTTAGCACAGGAAAGAATGACTAGGATTCATTATTCCGCTGAAATTAACTCAGATTTCACACTTTTTCTGTTAAAGGCGTTTGGCTTCATTGCCATGTTTGTGTTCATTGGAGATGCTGTTGTGGAATTCCTAAAAGTTACTGGAAAGACGCAAGTACAAATCGCTTTATAGACTTGGACCACCCTAAAGACGCTTGATTTTCTCTTATTTCCTCGATTTATTTCGTTATCGATACTGTCACATCAGTAAACGCTGCCCGTCCAGATGTAAAAGAAGTAACAAGAGTGATTTTGGGAAGGTTTTCAAGGTACCGAGATAGCCGTTTCTGGATGTGTCTCAGATCTTCATTATTCCTACTTATGGTCCTTTATTATGGTACAGCTTTTAAGGTAAAACCTATTAAATATTAGACCGCAACAAAGGTAGTGCCTTTTTTCGTAGCTGTTGTTTTGTCTCGTCAAGGAACAGGAGACCAAATAAAAGCTCTTCAGGGAACACGAACAAACGTTCTGTGCGAATGAACCAAAAAGTACGTTGTTATCTATTATGTCATAAGTCCGGCTTCAGCCCTACGAGTGTTTAGCATCTAATTTCTAACATTATAAGAATTGCATGGTTGGCAGTCAAGAGAATGACAAGTTTGACCCGGGAGTTAAAGGGTTAAATCAAACATTAAGATCACAGGAGTAAAGGGAATGATCACCAACTAAAGAAGCTCTTGAACATGCAACTTTCTCCAGTCAGCTCAAAAGGAATAAAGAACAGTATGGAAAACATGCATACTGTTGTTAGCCATGGTAATAAGTGTCAAAAGAGAAAAGAAAGGAGGGAAACTTTAAATATGTCAATAATTTAGTCGTTCATGTATTTAGCGAGAAGTTCCTACTCCTTTGCTTTGCCTGCTTATGATTTTTCTTATCTCTTTTGAGTTTATCCACCTTAGTAAACGATGTCAAATATTAGTAGTTCCTTAAACAGACAACTACGAAAAAGGAACTAAGATTGGGAGCTTAACACGTAATAAAACACAGAGTTTACCACGACCTGATGGTAGAAAGGAAAGGAAAAACTTTGACTGCTTCATAGAAAATACAGCTGTTGCTTTCTCTATATCTACAAGAGAATCTATCACCAATGTCGCCATGTTTTAAGATCAGTGGAAATCGCGGTACTTTTAATTCCGCAAATTTCATTCTGGCTCATTTAATAACGCATTTTTTATCTTCTGCTTCTCACTGTATTCGTCAGATGTCTTTACTCATACATGTCATTTTACTGATTATTTTGAAGCCTTTCATGTCTGGAATGTGACAGTAAACGACAACAACTCTATTACTCGACCACTGCTCTTAAGCGACAATTTTGTAACCGTTCTGTCTATAAAAATCAAAACACCTGAATAGTGACTGAGCCACCTCGGATTCCATAGTTTCCTCCTAAAATTCTATGTATTACTCATACATGTCATTTTACTGTTTATTTTGAAGCCTTTCATGTCTGGAATGTGACAGTAAACGACAACCACTCTATTACTCGACCACTGCTCTTAAGCGACAATTTTGTAACCGTTCTGTCTATAAAAATCAAAACACTTGAATAGTGACTGAGCCACCTCGGATTCTGTAGTTTCCTCCAAAAATTCTATTAAGAAAAAAAAGTCGTACACACACAGACATACTGTCTCTTAAACTTAGGGTCTAGACGGTAATAAACGTTGTGTTTCCGATAACTGACCACTCAGGGGGGAATAGTTCAGAAGTAATTCTCGAATTAGAAAGCGTAGTGGAAAGTTTTATGCATTATCTGATTCAAGTGATTTAACGAGAAACACTTTTCGAAATGCAAAGGTACACGCAGCAGACTGTCCGGGAACGAGTGAGTCGAGTAGCATATTGAGTATACGTTGAGTAATTTACTGGTGAGATCATGAGATATAGAAATGATTTGTGGATCCAGACGGTTTCAGTATCGATTTTCCTCTTGAACGTCAGGCTCCCTAGCGCGACCATTTTTGTACATCTCGGGGTCAACGCTGGGTTGTGCAAGATACTCTGTTATTTGTTTGTTTTGTCACAGGCAGTCTAGGCACACCAGAAGCAAGCAAACGCTTGCCTACCGAAAGCAAAACTTGTGTCCAGAATTCAACGTAAAAAAAAAAAAGTTGACCTTAACACGAAGTGATGGATTAAACATAAAATGATATGGTAACGCGTTACTGATTCGAGTTTTACGAAGTACATTACGAGCGTTGTTAGATATTGTAAGATCAATCAGATTTGCTTGAAACTACGTGACGTGTCTTTATTAATGGGCGTTGGAATAAACCAGCATCAGATCTCTGCGAAATGTGCCCTACTTTTTCCTTTTAAGCCACTAGTGGTTACTAGACGATACAGAAAAATTTTCCTCTTTTTTCTTCGTTTCAGAGCTCAAATGAGTCTTTCAATAGGCCAGTTGTGTCATTTCCGTTTGAGGCATTTCATTCAGTCACGCACTGATTCGGAGAAAAACGGAAACAGAAGCACAAGACACAATAATCAGACAAGGACCTACACGACTTTCAAAACAGCTCTTCTCTTCTGTGCTGCAAAAGTATGGATAGGTTAAGGATTATTTGGCAAGGTTACACTAATTTCTGGTAAATTAAGACCCCCGCTCGTTCAAGCTGAAATGTGACTGAGCGGAAGTGAGCTAACATACCTCTGATAAAACTACTTCCGGTTTACTAAGCACTTGATCATGACGTTTCAGTCAATCGCTTGCTGATTTGATTTGGTTCCGGAGTTTCCGAGAAACGTACATGACGTCTAGACAACACCCACGGCTATATGTTAGCGTGAGTATTCAGCTGGCGTGTCGAAGTTTTACAATATTCAACAGAACACAACATCGTGCCTCTCGATTTGCGGTGACAGGAGAAAAAAGTAGTGCAAGGATCATAGCTGAAGTGAGGTAAGGATAACGCACAGCATTCGAAATTTGTTGCATCCATGAGATCACAACAACACCTCGTTTTTTTTAACAATTTCCGCCTGAATTTTTTGCGTTTTTACTACACTTATTTTCCTTTAAAGCAATCCTTGATTTTCTTTCTTGCCTTTCATTATCGGTACTTGCGTTGTTAAGTGATCACCTTTTCAGAGGGTGTGTTGTCTTTAATATCTAGGAAACAGGTAACATTTTTAAACAAGCTCGATACAGTCTGTTGATTTATACGCCATTCGATCGAGCATTCTGCCTCGGTTAGACTTAATTTCTCTCAATCAGAACGGTTTAGATGTTGAACGATCCGTTTTTGTTTCGAAAATGAGCTTGAGAACTCTCGAAACTGTATTCAAGAGCTTTCACTACTGTGTACGATAACTAGATAGCTTGCAATTCAACGGCTGCGAAATTATATGCTAATTTTCTTTCGTCTATACGACACTCACTTCTCTGGTTTCTTAGCTGGTCGTAACTTAACCTCTCTAATGAATGAGATGCTAGTAATCGGGCCTTGTGTTTGCGGAAAATAGTTCTGCGATTGCCACAGGGCAAAAATTACAACTCGCTAGAAAGAAATGTATGGTAAAAAGTTGTTTCAAGGTCCAAGGAAAAACGATTTTGGCGAGAGATCAGTCATCATCATTTCTTATTAGAAATGGATGTGGTTAGTATTGAGTAAAGGGTAGCGCAAGGTTTTGTTTGAACAACCGTGAAATATGTAGTGGAAACTCCATGCCCAAGGGATTAGTGAAATTGATATCGCGTAATGATCTCGAACTTTAGATTGTTTATTTCTCAAATCTCTCTTTTTTTTTTCCGAACCGTGATCCGGTCCGTTAGGTTTTTTGGGCGAAAAAACTTCTAGTGAGGCCCACGCTCAATTATGTCACGCAGACTTTATTTTGGCTTGTCACGCAAAATATCTAATTTCATTAACATGATCCGATCCTGGAAGTGATAGTAGCGGAGGGAGCATGAAAACGTATGTGGTCGCTGTAGCTAATTATTTTTCAGTTGAAATGGAAATTTGATAATATTTCTTTAACTCTCACAATCTGCCGTCGCCCCTGTAAATTAAGTGTATTTAGTCTTGAAACGCAGTGCGCCAAGCATGGTCTTTAATTGACTTTGAAATACCCCGAAGGGAGAAATTTTCAGAGAATTTCCACTAAAAGGTTCTTTCAAAATTTTAACGATTCAAAATCTATTTTGATTTTTCCAAAGTATAGTGTAGTATAGGGGAGGAGTTTTCCGAGCTTGTCTCTAACATTAAATCGCTAGTTCAGAAATATTTTTCAAGTGCAGAAATCCTCTTTAGCATTTAGACACTCGTCTTGTGTTATCGTAGATGGAGGGTGAAAGTCCAGCCGAACTTCCAGTAAAGCACGAAACCCAGGTGAAGGGTCCCCCTGGTCAGCCTGTAACATCTCATCAACAGATGGCTCCCGGCCAGCCAATCATGTACCAGATGCCACCCGGACAACAACCGGTTTTTGTGCAAATGCCTGCTGGTCACCCAGCAACAACACCAGATGGGCAGCCTATTCAGTATTACTATGGTCAACAACCAGTTCAGCCAGGTCAATTAATGCAACCGGTTCGACCGGTTAATGTCCCAAGCCAACCTGATCAACCTGTATATTCTCAACCACAGGCTGGACAGGGTCTAGACCTTACGATCGATACCAATTTCCTCAAGTCCCCTCTCTGCTACATTAAGATAGTGGAATTTGTAAGTACTGACTTTGCTGGTTTCTAATGTAAAGACAAAAGGTTTTGGTGCCCACGATTTTGTGTAAATTTGAGGTTTACGCGGCTTATGCAACCCTAAGAGAACAATGGTATGGTTTCTTAATTGTTTACAAATCTTAAGTGTTAGGTCTTATTACTATGTCACACTGTTTTGTTTCTCAGTTATGGAAGTTGTCGTTAACCAGAGAGAACCTTAAAAGAAAAGTTTGTCTTCAGAAACCATACAATTTTTACCTCTGCCATTAGAATTCATTTATGAGATTATGACACAGACTGCAGTTTGATATTTAAAAATAAAAATAGCCGTTCGAATTTTTCTTTCAATGTGCTAAGACTTAGGCCAAGAACGCCTCCATTTTGATTCTTACCTGGCAACCTGCTCGCTCACAAGTCAGTAATGAGTCTTATAAATCTGCTGGACTAATTCGGAGCTATACATAAAGGCATTCTTGACTCAAATGGTGGCTTTTCTGCGATAAACAGGGTAGGAACAGTTCATGAACCATGTGTTGTCATCTTGCCTTTGCGGCCAGGTTACCGAGCATTTACATAATGGCGGCCTTCCGTAGTCGAACATTTGCACATTTGGAAACGGTTTGCGATTGGTTAGCTTGTTAGTTGCAGAGAATAAACCGCAGTGAGTTTTCATTTTTTTCATGGCGGAAATGAAAATTAATGGGTTCCCGGGCCACACTTCTCCTTTATTTACAAAACATTTGTCAGGGTAGAAAAACAATAAGGGACAAGAAAAGACTAAAAGACATCGTTAAGGATGGAGAAGATGAAGCCGCATTGCAAAAAAAAATTGATGAATTTGTCATGACCTATTTCCTCCGAGCATTATAAAATATCTGTTTTGCAGGTTGTTCTCCTAGGGGCCTGGGCAAGTATCGTGAAGTACTCTGGTGATCTTGGCGTTCCAGATGCAGACGAAAAAGCCAACTTCTTCAAGGGTATTACCATTTTTTGCTGGCTGATGGTGATATTTTACATGATCATTCATATTTTCGGCTTTACCAAACTTTGTAGTTGTGGTCGAGAGTCTAGGCTTACATTGGTGGTAAGTTATGATTCATTTAAATAACTTTTGTTTCGGTATCATCGGATTTTGATTGATTGAATACCGGTGAATTCATGAGTCTAAAACTTACGCGAAAGTAGATGGGGAAGTAACTTACCTCCTGGTAGTGTTATCTTGGAGTTAATCAACTCGTCACGTTGCACTGTTTCCTTGTCAAGTTTTGGAACCTTCACTTCGTCCGCATTCTTACAAAGCTCTAGCAGTTCTGCCCCTTTCCGCCCTCTTACCGTTTACAGAAATTTGAATATCCCTTTCCTTTGAAAACTTCTGTAGCTAGCTCAGGAACTTTCATATTTGGGAAAAGAGCATCATAATCTGCCATGTCGAGACGACTCCTATTCCCCTCAGCCCCGACTGGTGCTCAAAACTAGTTACCAGACTT